TTTAGTGTTGTTAATTTAAAATTATATATTAAATAAAAAATATAAATTATAAATTATAAATTTAATTTAATTTAATTGAAAATAATAAATTATAAATTATGGTCTTATAAATTAAAAAAATTTAGTGTTGTTAAATTATAAATTATAGATTAGAAATTTAAAATTATAAATTACAAGGGTAAAATAGTCTTTTAAATATTTATCCTTATCCAGTCCGTCCAAACAAATATTGAATTCACTAAAAATAGCTCAATCCAGACATCTAATCTCATTGTTAAACAAATATAAGATACACATCCAGTCCAACCAAATAGTCCGAAAATAATGTATCCCAAGATTAAAAGTTTGATGAATTACAATGTTTCTTTATCCAGTCTGTCCAAACAAACATGTTCTAATTGGTTTAGATGGCTCAGTCCTCTCATGCAATTGGAGACCATTCAAGTCCTTGAAATAAATGACCAAGAAACTTCAATTGAAATCCATTGAACAAGATGGTCAAATGATCAAATAGTGCTTATAAATTAAAAAATTATTAAGCTTTAAGTAATATTTTATAGTATTTATCAATTAACTATTTTCATGTTCCCTCTTAAATTCTAATTCTTAAGTCTTATTTGTCGATTATATATTCTAATTAAGAGTGGTATTATATGCACTAATTAGTATACTAATGTAACAATCTCGACCCATGATTAACGTTAATCCATGCTTAAGTATGCCTAACACGTAATTAAGAAGAAATTCTGAGTTAATTACATGTGCATTGCATTATTTGTGTTTATATCTGTTTAACGTTAGAAGATCTATTTATGTTTCATTTCGATTTGTGAATTGAAGGTCCTATCGGCATCCGATTCAGAAATTGACTTGATTTTTGAGTTAATTAGAATTTTTAAAATTTTATGGTAGGTTTAATTGAAATTCGATTCAAAACGATAAATTAGATTAATTTAATATCCATTTGATTAACTTTAATTAGTTACCACCAAGTGAGCCTATATAAGACTCCCTACATGCTCCACTCATCTCTTTCTTTCATTTTCAACACATTATTGAGTTTACACACACACACAAATGTGAGAGAGAGTGAGAGGGAGATAGACTTGAATTCAACCAAAGTGAGACTTGCTTGAGAATTGAAGAGAATTAGGGAGGATTAGCTTGATTACTCAAGAATTGTTCTACTTGAATCTCAATTGAGAAATTTAGGTGAGAATTCAAGCTTTTGATAATATAGTTAAGTTAGCCAACTCATGAATTCAAAAGAAATCCTATAGGAAGGCTAGAATTAAGCTTAGATAGTTGATTTTGGGAGTATATCATACATGCATGCATAATTCTCATAATTTGATAAGTCGATTTTCAAGAATCTCCACATGCATGTCTATACTTAGGTTTTGTTCAAGGAACTCAACATGTCTTTGACCCAAACATCTCATTTGCTCATGATTTGGAAACTTGAAGCTCAAATCACTTCATGCATGTCATATCCATGTCATGTTTTTACAATTCAAGTTTGAATTTTGCTCAATCATCAAGCTTATGGCCTTTGATTTCATGAAATGACCTTTAATTCTCAATGTTTTGCAAGTTTAGACAAGTTTCCTCAAGTTTTTGGTCCAAATGATGAGTTTTGAAGTGTTGAAATCAAGATTTGCAGCTTGGAAGCAATTCTAGAAATTCTAGAATTCTGCTCCTACGCTCGAGCATAGGAATCCACGCTCGAGCGACCACTCTGAGAGTGTGCACTTCCGCTCGAGCGACCAGAAGTCCACTCGAGCGTGAAAATGCAAGCTTCCAGAAGTTCTTATGTTTTGCAGTCTGCCCGAGCGACAAAAGTTGCGCTCAAGCGAGGGTATGTCTCTCACACTTGAGCGAGCATCGAGCGGAAAAATCAAGGAACCAACACTTTTACAAAAGTTTACAGACTGCTCGAGCGACCACTCACATTTTGCATGTCCGCTCGAGCGTAGGAAGTCACGCTTGAGCGAGGACCCTGTTTTTAGCACTTTTTGTTAAGTGTTTTCAAGCGCATTTTTGTATTCTTTTTTCATCCTAGGCATTCCTAGGCCAAGATTAAGACACCATAATAAGGATAAAGAAGTAGAAACACACTAAGACAAGAAAGAACTAAGTTAATGATTCTGGGTGTGTAATTCAGTACGTATTCGTCAAGGCCGGCCCTGGGGTGAGACGACTGAGGCGGTCGCCTCGAGCCCCCAATTTTGAACAAAATTTAGGGCCTCCAATCAGGGGAGTGTATCATGTTATGTTATTTTATAATTATTTTAATATTAGCTCAATTTATTTATTTTTATGTTGTCGTGTGGTGTTATTTTGATTCGTGTTCGATTGATATTTAATGTGAAAACTTTCACTTTTAGTTAAAAATAACTTAGCAAGTGTATTGAGAGATTAAAATTTTTCTCATAAGTTGAATTTTATAAAATTTATTTCAACTAAATGAAATTATTCATAGAATGTTTGATTTTAATTCAATTGCATTTTTCTAATTAAAAATATTGTACCTTATTACTATATATTTTTTATTAGATTGACTCTAAAATAGGTAACAAAAAAATATATATCTTAAATGAAAAAAAGATATTGGCCTTAATTATTATTTTATATACTTTTTTATTCAGTTAGATAGAGTTAAATAAAAGATTAAAAAAATGTCATGGCATCCCTTAGTGAACATTCAAATATATAACTAATAATTCATGTTATTGAGTTGTGTCATACTTGGATTCATGTTGAAAATAGTCAACCTTAACTTGCTAATTTTATATATTGCTTGAGTTGTGTCGAAAATTCTCATCCTTACCCCCAATTAATTTGTGTTCTTATAGCATTGGTAAGCTAAAAAATAAAGATTCGATTCAACTAATTGAAATTCAACTATTATATATATATATATATATTTGTTATCTAAATTTTGTTAAATTGTAATGCAATAGAAATAAATTTTTATCTTTTTTGTTTTATCCAAACAATTTTTTTTTTTTTTTGGATAATGATATATGAATGGCCCAATTTAAAAAATTCGCCTTAGGCCCCTAATAAGTCAAGGCCGACCCCGGTATTCGTTCTATATTTGTGTAGGTCACATGCAACAAGATATCTGAATTGCCTACTCTGTCCGTTACTTGGAGCCATCTGTTATCTGTGAGTAATAACTTAGAAAGCTATGTTCAAGTTAAATTATTTTTTGTATATGGAATAAGATTTGTTCTATGAAATGCCATATTTTATACTATGAATGATTGTCCAACTCTAATAAATATTTGTGGTATTATGCCATGATCCAAGTATGCTATCGTACTCGACCGGAGGTTCCTTATGGAACTAACAAGTTATCTGTACCCGACTGGAGGTTTCTTATGAAACTGACAAGTTATTCGTTCCCAATCTGGAGGTTCCTTTATGGAACTGACAAGTTATCCGTACTCGGCCGGAAGTTCCTCTATGAAACTGACAAGTATAATTTATGATGCTCTGTATATGATCTGTTAGTGCTAATGGATAAACCATATATCATCAAGCATGAATTCTGAATTCTGTATATGAATTGAATAAGAATACAAATGTGAACTAGTTTAGTCATAGGATATCATTCATTTTACCCTTTATTCTGTTATTATTCACTAGGCTCCCACTCACTATTTATATTATGTATGTGGGTGATCAGACACTTGACCAGGCTCAGAGTTGAGAACCTAGCATCTCAATTTTTGTCAGCCAACCTTGCGCCTCCCGAGGAGGTTCTAGATTAAGTAAAGCTTAGTGGCTGTGTTGTTATGAATGTATAAGACTTTATTTCTTTTGTTATGTGAACAAATTTTTTTGTTTTTATGTACATGAAGTGACATGTAAATACTGTATCTTTTGACGTCACTCATATGTTTATAAAAGTTTAAGATTATCTGTCTCATGTACATCTTCATAATTTGATAGACTATGTATATTTTATGTATTTGCTTCTACAGCCCTTAATTGTACATTATTATGTTAAGAGGCCTTTGGTAATCCAAGGATTACTGGCCTGTTACGACGCTAAATCTATAAGGGCGGGTTGGGTCGTGACAGAGTGGTATCAGAGCACGTGTTCTACCACACACACGAGTCGATACAAGCTTAGGATGTCCTAGTAAGAAGTAGGGGGCATTCCATCTGCATGTTTGAGTGTGTATTTTTGAAAGTGAAAGCATAAATCTGGTTATGATCACAAGATATAGAAACAAATAATCTGAATAATGTAAAAAGAACTATTTGTTTATGTTTATGATGTTTTGTTTACCTATAGCAAATGAAAAATACAAAAAGTGATGGAATAACTGAATCATCTGAGGCTCGAATGAGCCACATGCTAGCAGCTTTAACTGAGGCAATAGCTCAACACAGCAGAGGCAACAACTCTTACATCCTCCACCCCCGCCGATCCAAGTGGAGTCGAATAACAATGATCTCATAAATTTAACTCAAAAGTTCCTGAAGATGAAACCACCAATCCAAGTGCGTACACACTATATTTTATTATTCTCTTGATTTTCTTAGATATTTTTTGTATAAAAAATAAAAAAATTACTAAAATAATATATTATCAAACGAAACTATAAACGTATAATAAAACGTGGTGTGCGGCCCACGAATCAGCCGTTTGCTTCCCGGTGAAGGGAGGGGGACTAATAAGTAAATAAATAATTTGTATAGTTGACAACGCTGAAGATGAAACCACCAATCCAAGTGCGTGCACACTATGTTTTATTATTCTCTTGATTTTCTTAGATATTTTTGTATAAAAAATAAAAAAATTACTAAAATAATATATTATCAAACGAAACTATAAACGTATAATAAAACGTGGTGTGCGGCCCACGAATCAGCCGTTTGCTTCCCGGTGAAGGGAGGGGGACTAATAAGTAAATAAATAATTTGTATAGTTGACAACGAAATAACAGCAAAGTTTAGTTAATTATTCGATTCTATAACCCTTATCAGGGACAATACTGAAAAGACTCCCAATATATGTGGAATTAGGGAAATATTTTTTTCCATCTCCCAAACCAAAACCATCATCGTCTCTTTATTGGAAATTCTCGCTACGAGTTGGATTCCAAAACACCTCTCTCTGTCTCTCTGCAATTCGATGATTATTCGACAGTTATCTAAACCCTAATCCTAGTTTCATGTGAAGAGAATCCGTGGTTCTCTTCAAATTTTCCATATATAATTCATCATTATAAACCCTAGATTGTTGAGAGACCTAATGGAGCTATCTCAAGGATCGTCAATCATGTCGCCTTTACCTTCAATGATCATGAATTACAGTCTTCTCTCTCCTCCGCCGTCGATCGATCCCGACGCCGACTTCGACACGGCGTGGTACGGCAACATCCAGTACCTCCTCAACATCTCCGCCATCGGAGCTCTCTCTTGCGTCCTCGTCTTCCTCTTCGTCAAGCTCCGCAGCGACCACCGCCGCATGCCAGGCGCCGCCGCCGTCTTCTCCAAGCTCCTCGCCGTCTGGCACGCCACCGGCCGCCAGATCGCCACCCACTGCGGCGCCGACGCCGCCCAATTCCTCCTTATCGAGGGCGGAAGCTGCTCCGTCCTTCTTGCCATCGCGATTCTCTCCTTGTGTGTTATTCTCCCCCTCAATCTCTACGGTGGTACTGCTCCGATGAACGATCAGTTCTCGAAGACCACCGTGAATCACATCACGAAAGGTTCGCCTTTGCTCTGGATTCACTTCTTGTTTGTTGTGATTGTTGTTGTTTTGGTTCATTTTGGTATAAATGAGATTGAGCAACGCTTGAGAATCACTAGGTTTAGGGATGGGTATGGTAATCCTAGTGATCCTAGTGCGAATTCATCTGCAATTTTCACTATAATGGTGCACGGGGTGCCGAAAACTTTAGGGTTTGATAAGACTTCTTTGGTGGAGTATTTTCAACACAAGTATCCCGGGAAAGTTTATAAGGTCATTGTGCCGATGGATTTGTGTGCTTTGGATGATTTAGTTACGGAGTTGGTTAAAGTTAGAGATGATATTTCCAAATTGATAGTGAAGATTGAGTCGCGGGTTTCAACGATTGAAATTGAAGATGGTGAAATTGGAGAAGATTCTTCAGCGGGGTTGTGGAACAGAGCACGTTCGCTGTGGAGGACAGTAAGGAACTACTGGGATGAGATTATTAGTGAATTAGGGTTTACGGATGAGGAGAGGTTGAGAAAGTTGCAAGAATTGAGAGCTGATTTAGAGACTGAAATGGCAGCATACAAAGAAGGGCGAGCAAAGGGTGCTGGAGTGGCTTTTGTGGTATTTAAGGATGTGTATGCCACTAATAAGGCTGTTCAGGATTTCCGGAATGAGAAAAGGAGACGGATTGGAAAATTCTTTTCTGTCATGGAGTTGCAGTTACAGAGGAACCAATGGAAAGTTGAGCGAGCTCCATTGGCGACCGACATATACTGGAATCATTTGGGCTCCTCAAAGGTCTCACTGAAACTTCGCAGAGTGTTTGTGAATACATGCCTAGTGTTGATGCTTTTGTTCTTCAGTTCTCCTCTTGCTGTGATTAGTGCCATTAAGAGTGCTGGGCGCATTATCAACGCAGAGGCAATGGATAATGCTCAAATGTGGTTGGCTTGGGTGCAAAGCTCAAGCTGGCTGGCAACTATAATCTTTCAGTTCCTTCCTAATGTTCTTATTTTTGTGAGTATGTATATAGTGATCCCATCAGCTCTGTCCTATCTCTCAAAGTTTGAACGGCATCTTACTGTGTCAGGGGAGCAAAGAGCTGCACTTTTGAAGATGGTTTGCTTCTTTCTTGTAAATCTCATTCTTTTGAGGGCTCTGGTTGAATCCTCTCTAGAGAGTGCAATCTTAAGAATGGGTCGCTGTTATTTGGACGGAGAAGATTGCAAAAAGATTGAGCAATACATGAGCGCGTCATTTCTGTCAAGGTCATGCCTTTCATCTCTTGCATTTCTAATCACATGCACTTTCTTGGGAATATCTTTCGATCTTTTGGCTCCAATACCTTGGATAAAAAAGAAGCTTCAGAAGTTTCAGAAGAATGACATGCTTCTACTGGTACCGGAACAAAGTGAGGATTACCCATTAGAAAATCCGGATTTAGAGAGTCTGCGGAGACCACTGATTCCTGAAGAAGCATTTGACACAATGGTTGGCAATAATGGATTGCCGAATGGTGCCACACTTAGTGAAATCGATTTACCAGGACAAGTTCTTTCTGAATATCCGATCAGCAGAACCTCACCTATGCCAAAGCAAACATTTGATTTTGCACAATATTATGCATTCAATCTGACAATCTTTGCCCTGACCATGATCTATTCTGCATTTGCTCCTATTGTGGTTCCTGTTGGTACAATTTATTTTGGGTATAGGTACGTGGTTGATAAGTACAACTTTCTATTTGTATACAGAGTACAAGGGTTTCCTTCAGGCAATGATGGGAGGTTGATGGACACGGTATTGGGTATCATGAGGTTTTGTGTCGACTTGTTCCTACTTTCAATGCTCTTGTTCTTTACAGTCAAAGGAGATTCCACTAAGCTGCAAGCAATATTCACGCTTGGGCTGTTTGTGTTGTATAAATTGTTGCCTTCTGATGATGATAACTCCCAACCAGCTTTATTGCAAGGCATACAGACTGTTGACAATGTTGTAGATGGACCGATAGATTATGAGGTTTTTTCGCAACCCAAATTTGGATGGGATACAAGTCAGTTGTGATTTGATCTTTAACACTTATAAATGAGTTGCTTGTGATAGTCATGTATTTCTGTCCCCGTTAATCTTCAAAGAATCTTTTGTGATGTTTCTGTATATATATTCATGTGCTTTTGACATATTTCTCCTCATTTTCATTTATGTTGCGAAGAATCTAGATCAGAATGCATTCTGAACTAGACAGTATTTAATTTAAGAGTAGTTGAATTTTGTATTTTTATTTGCTAAGTTCAGTAACCTTTAAAGTGATATTTTCTGTTGTAAAATATGTATCCGACATCTGAGTGAAACAATAAAGCGATTGAGTGGATTCACAAGTTCTAGATTATCATTGGCCACGAATTTGTTAGGTGAGGCTTTGGTTTGTTGAGATTAGGAACCATCGGTTTCATCATCATGATATGCACTTCTTTGTGCATTTGTTATTCAATGATTCTTATGTAATCCATGCTTGTTGAGTTTTATACTGGTCTAGAATGTCCAAAATGAAAAATCTTCTTCTTTTCTCAATAGATGTGCAGTGACTAGGCATATTTGCTTTACTTTACAATACATCAGAAAACAGAAAGCTGAGATCTTGTTTGAAGTTACACCAGTTTGGTTATCTCTCGAGTCAATTTGGACCCTCATTTATGAAATGAGTTTTGGGGGCAAAGAGTTCTATTCCAAACCATTACTCGTAAGTTTGTTTATTTGTGAAGTGAAGGAAATGGGCTTTTATCAGTGTTAGCTGGTGAAGATTGCAAATCCATTGTGAGCTCCCGTGTCTTGACTTTACTGAACAAGCTTGGTAGAGTCTGAGGCAATCTGTCTAGGTATTGTTTAAATTGATAAATGAATAGACTTACATTACTTCTTTTTAGTAAAATTTGATGTTATACAACCTTTTTAATGGGTACTTATTGGTTGTTCTGTCTCAAAAAATCTGCGTCCCTCTCCCACGCCCTTCACAACCCATGTATGTGCCACTCGGTTGTTATATGGCAGCAGTTGCTAGACTTTTATGCTTGTAATTCAATACCTCTGCTGTTTCTACTAAAGAATCTCACTAAACTTGAGAGAATTATATATTCACCATGACCATGAGATGATTTCATGTTGTGCAGCATCCATGTTCTGTTTTTATTGTTTTGTTGGCAGATGCAGTCTTTACAGCAATTCCAAACAAAACAGATTTGAAATCTAATGATAAAACAAAATTGATAGAAATTTATATCTATTCTCCTTCTTTAGACTTAAAAAATTATTATATTTTCCTTAAATATTAATATATATGATATAATAGTTATTTATCTTTGCATATGACATATAATAAATACATAAAATTATATATCTTTGCATATGACATATAATAAATACATAAAATTATATATTTTCCACGCATCTCGCATGTAAGGTGTCTTACATTTTTTAAAAATTTCAATATTAGTGTGTTAGTATCATGTCCATGTCACCTCATGCATCTGTGTCCGTACTTCTTAGGCCACAATTGGATCTATTCTTGTTGATTTCCATAATGTGATCAATAGTTAATTAATTATCTTTAAGATTTGTTTATTTCAATTTTCCTTTTTCATATTGAGAAAAAAAATTCCCTGTGCGAATGCATGAACAGTAATTATTCCTCTTAATTATAACCAAACTTGAAGTTAAACCGTGCACTGGCGAGCAATGAACAAGGAGGCTGAATCGTCCAGTTTCACAAATAAAAATCATGCCGCGAACATGACTGTTTATGCAAGCACATGCCAAACGTCTCAGGATCATCACCTTCCATATCAAAAAACTATGAAGAATTTTTTTATTTGTATTGAAAACTAAAAAGATTACAAAATATATATATAAATATATATATAAGTACAAGAGGGGAAAGGAAAAATTCATTAATGGAATGGGAACATACTTGGATGAAATGAAATGTAGGCAAGATGAGAATGAAGATAAGTTTGAAAATTATACCCAACAAGTCAAGTCTCATCCTATAACCATGCTATGCCAAGCAAATGCTATTTCTCCTTCACTTCAACACCATGTTCAATTCAATGTGGCTTCACTTGTGAGTAATTTCAACTCTCTCTCTCTCTCTCTCTCAAGTGTGTGGCTAATCTTGAATTAACTAATACTCTCAAATTTCTTACCTTGTGAATTGGGTGGTAATAAATAGGGAGAGTCAGTTAGAATGGTCACAAGTTTTTCACTTGTGACTTTGATTTTACTCAATTTGGAAGACGAAATGCATCATTTAGCGGTGAAAAGCAATCTTGTGAATGCAGGTGCAGAGACAACCAAGCTTTTGATTGAAGGCAGTGATGGTCAGCCAGTTTGTCCAAAGCCTCGCCGTCTTGGATCCCCCCTTCCTGAATTTCTCAACCCCCTGAGATGTACCAAACACAGGTTAATTTGTTTTTTATTTTTTCTTTGTAAAACGGAATTATAAAACTTTCCTCCTTCGTATGTATCATGACATATGCTTGAAATTAGTAGTTACCTACGAAGCACGGATACATGCATAGTGCACGAAGATGGACACAAGATATAAATATATATGTTTTTTTAAATTAGGATACAGATATGGTGAGATTACAGTAAAAATATATTTTTTTATTTGCTATCTATATGAATATAAACATAGGGCAAGCACAGAGACATGAGAGCCATCCATGTATTTGTGGGTTTTACTCTTCCACTTTCTCCCTTGTTTTCATATATTTTACTTTGACCTCAAATTAACTTTATTAAATCATACATAAAATAAATTTAAAAAAAAGTTCATGAAGGTGTAATGAGGCACATCCATGCAGTGTCCCAATGTGTCCTATGCTAAAATAATAGTTAAAAAATAGTTACATCACGTGGCGTCTTCAACACATGTCAAATACAAACACGATAGCTATTTTGACATGTCCTGCTTTCTAGGTAGGTAGTGTAGTGTTGAAAAATAGTTACTCTATACCCAATCCATAAATTAGTATGATATCAAATACAAATTTATGAAATCTTTGTAACTTTCTTTCCTTTCTAAGATGGTTCCAAATACTCGTGAATTTGAAACTCATTTCCTATTCTGATGTCAACAGCCAACCAAATACCAATGAAAGAAGCCCAATTCTCAACATAATGGCTGAAAAGGTTTGATTCAAACCATATTATTATCACAAACTAATACTTCCTTAAAAAGTTTTAGATGCCCTCGACTCTTTAATCCCTACTACTAACTTGATCTTGATCTACAATGCAGACAATCGATGGACGAGAATCTGTATGCACCGGGTGCTCAGTGTCATGGTACTCGGGCTCTCCTCCGAGCCGAACAGACAATCCATTGGTTCATGATGTGCAATTCATGCACCAGATGGAAGTTTTTTCACCTTTTACGCGAACCAAACTGTCGGATAAATTTGGCTTCACCTCTGCTTCTCCAATATGAGCCCCGGAACATGAAAACGAGAAATTTCCCAGAAGAATGAGTCTGTCCTCACAATGAGGGGTTTCTCCCATTTTGAGGTTGTGTTTTTTGTAGCAGTTGTCTATTTTTGTGTAATTGTTTGTGTACTTGTAAATAGAATGAGATAAATGCACACAGATGCATCTTGTGAATATGATTCTCTGATCATCTGAGTTGTGCCCATTGAACTCTTGATTTGTGATTAGTCTCACATAAAGAGTTTTTTTTTTTGTCTTTTTCTTTTTTTTTCCCTCTTCTAAGATGAGTTGTATGGTGTACAACCATGTTAAATTTAATCTAGTTTTGGACAGTTATGTGATTGGTTTATATTTATGTTAAAAACATGTTTATAGAAGACCATGCTTTTCACTTGGTGTCCTTTTTCCTCCCCCTTTGTTTTGATTTTGTTTTTTGGTATTTTTTCGTTCCTTTTTTGGGGTTGGCAATAATAATGCTAACTTGAAAACCAATAAAATAAAATAAGACTAATGTTATACCTAGGGGTGTGCGCGGTGCGGGTCGGTGCGGTTTGAGAGAAAAATAGAAACCGTATGGCGGGTGGCGGATTGATAAAAGTGTCACTAGAATTTGCCATTTTTCTTATCAAAAACCGGCGGTTCAGTTGGCAAATAATGGCGGATTTGCCTTGGCGGTTCGGGCGGATTGGCGGTTTATAAAAAATATAATTCAAATTATAAAACTTAAATCAAAGAGTAAAAAAAAGACGAGAGATATCGTGATGTTAAGCATCTTGCGAAGCTTTCTTCTTATGCAGCAAGTGTAGCAACAACATGATAATATCAACGACTATGCCATCAGTTCATTACAAGCATCTGTGGAAGTTACAGTGATCAAATACAATACATAAAATTCCCCTCGAGCAATAATATAATACTATATTCTAAGGTATAGAACAACAAGAAAACTTAAGTAAAAAAGAATTTTTAGAATCCTGTAAAACATGATTTAATAGCGGTGCGGGTCGGTGCGGTTTGGAAGAAAAATAGAAACCGGCGGATTGATAAAAGTGTCACTAGAATTTGCCATTTTTCTTACCAAAAACCGGCGGTTCGATTGACAAATAATAACGAATTTGCCTTGGCGGTGCGGTTCGGTGCGGTTTTGGCGGTTTCGGCGGTTTCGGCGGTATTATGCACACCCCTAGTTATACCAACAAAACAATACATTAAAAAAAAAAAATTGGACATTTATATATAAAAAAATTGAATTTGAACTAATCATTTTAAAACAAAGACTCGTGAAGATTGTTTTTAAATACAAAACTACCACATTTGCATTATTTTGATAGAAAATTCTCCATAAAAAAATTTTAAGATTTTTTTAAAAAACTCCATAGTATGCTCAGGACTTATTTGGTGCCACTTTTTACAAGTTGAAAGTTTATAACAATAACACAGAAGTTACAAATATCCATTTTTTTTTTTTCTTTTGGAACAAAATACCCAACTTTCTAGTAATCAATTTTTTTTTTAAACTTATTTAAGTTATTTTGACCTAATAAGCTATAAGTTGAAATTATATCAAATAATTTGGCATAAACTAAAAAAATTTAAAAAAAAAAAAAAAAAAAAAAAAAAAAACAGTGCCTTCATAGTTCGCCAATGTTGAGATCTCATGTGAAATTTTAGGGAGGTTCTATTTTCACAAACCAATTCCTCTCATGCATACTTAATGATTTTTTTCAAAAACACAATTTTATACCTTATTCAGGGTTGGTTTGGGAAGTGGGTTGGCTTTTTGGACTATTTTAGCCTGGGCTAAAAAGCTTGGTTTGGAAAGGGCTTTTTGACTTTTTGACTTTTTAGCTTTTTTTGTGAGAGAATAGTGTAATGATTATGGATTGGATGTGATGTTTTGTTTTTTGTAGCTAAAATAGTCTATTTTATTTTTTGTGATTAAAATAGCCAAAAAAGTCCCTAACCCAACTTGCCAAACGGAACCTCAAATTATTGTGGCTGAGAAGTGCTATAGGGGTATTGAAAGAAATGGTGGGTAGCGACTAGGGATTTGGGATAAGCTATAAGAGTTAGGGATGTAAATTGGGGCCGGCTCCATCCACCCAGGCCTGGGCTCGAGCCACCCAGGCTCTACCAAAATTTGGGCCTAGCCAAGCCTTGGATGGGCTTGCCTGAACATTTTTTTTATTAAAATTTTATTCTTTTCCACTAAAAATGACACTGGGCCTCAAGCGGACCAGGCAGGTCAGGTTTTGAGTGATCCTTGAGCAGATCGATGGGTTGGGCCACGAGCCAAGGGCCGGCCTTAAAAATGATGGCCCAAGCCTAATGTCTCAGGTTGGGCCTGGGCCTAATCGGACCAGGCCCACCCCAAGCCGCGGGAGGGTTTCGGGCCGCCCACAAGCCACGGGCCAAATTTACACCCGGAGTATATGGTAAGGAAAGGATGCAATGTGATGAGTTGGGTAATGGCAGCTAGTAATAGTGGAGGATGAGAGTGGCATTCACAGCATAAGTTTTGGGTAATGGAGGTGGTGGTTGGCGAGTTGTGAATGAAGAAGATAAGGGTTAGATTTAGAGAGTTAGGGTTTGAAGGATAAAGGAAATGAGGGCATTTTTTGTATGATGGATTGTGTACTGAATAGAACATGAGATTTCAAAATTATTAGCGCCGTGTTTGGATCATAGATTTTTATAAGGATTTGGAAGAAGAAAAAGAAATGAAAATGAAAATAGAGAAAAAGAAATAGTTTATATTTCACTCACATTTGTCTCACATTTTTCCTTTTTAGTTTCAAATTTGTAATCCAAAAACAGCCTAAGTGTATGTCTTGAGAGAAGATATTTTACAAAGAGTATTTGGTGTGTGAAAATAGAAGCTTCTAAAATATTACTGTATTCGAAGTGCATACAAGAGTGAACTTACCAAAATATCCCTAAAATATTTGGGGAACTTACCAATAAGTCTCATATACAAAGTTCAAGACCCATCTAATCCTCAAACAAAACACTTGTACCAATTAGTCCTATACATTTTTAATTATTACCAAAAAATCCTTTTTTTTTTTTTTTTAAATTTATAAACACTATTACATCTTACTACTGTCGGACTTCCGTGAAACGATCACTGGAGACTCGTCGGAATGTTCAACATCACCGGGAAGTCGCCGGAGTATCGCCGGAAGTTCACCGGAGTGTTAAGAACGTTAATGGAAGTCGCCGGAATGTTCAGAATGTTAAGAACATCATTGGAGACTCACCAGAATGTCTAGAATATTGTCGGAAAAAAAAAAAGAATAAATAGAGAAATTAGAGCGAAAAACATAGCAAAATGTGCTAAATATTGATAAACTAAAAGAAAAAAAAATGAAACAACAAAAAACAGCAATAATGGAAAAAATATATGCTATTTTTCAATTTTTGTAAAGTTTAAGTAAATAATCTCCAATATTGATCAAACTGAAAAATAAGTTTTGAAACTATAAAATGTTACAGTTTCAAAGCAAAAATCTATTAAGTATTTATCCTTATTAATCAAACTGAAAAACATGTTATGAAACTGTAAAATTTTACAGTTTCAAATTTTTTTATACCATGATTCATTCCAGCACAAAAAAAAAAAATTGAAACTGTAAAATTTTACAGTTTTAAACCATGATTCATTTCAGCACCAAAAAAATTTGAAACTGCAAAATTTTATAGTTTTAAGCCATGATTCATTCCAGCACCAAAAACTAAAACTGTAACTAAAACTAAAACTCGAAAACAACTTGTTCAAAACTTGAAAATTTTCTCCAATAGAACAGAAAAAGAGAAGTGTATAGCAGAAAAATGTAGAAAAAAAATAAAAGATCGAAGGAGAAAGGCGGGTATAGAGAGAGGATTGTACTCCGGTAACTATTTTTTGTTTAGATCTAGCCAAATCTGATGTAGATCTACATCAGATCTAAATAGATCTACTCATCTTCTTCGTCGGAAACATATCTTCTTTATCACCAGTGAGGGTGAAGTAAAGAGTCGGCGGTCGGTGGTTACCGGTGAATCTCAATCGATGGTAGTCATCGGTCGCCGGTGACTATATATCGGAAAGAGAAAGAAAAGAAGCAAGATATGGTTACCCATTAATAATCGCCAAAAATCACAAAGAGCAAAAGAGGTAGAGAAGAAGAGAGACAGAAAAGAAGAATAACGTTATAGGACTTTTAGATATCAACAAAAGGTTATGAGACTAAATAGACTACACATGTTTCAAAAAAGATTTCTTGATAATTTTCCCAAAATATTTTGCCATCCCCTCACGGGCCAGTTGGGTTATGGGCTTTGGCAACCCCCAGGGCCAGTTGGATTACGGGCCCCAGCCTCAATATGAAAGACTTGTTTACTTCTTCAAATGTGTACCCATTAAGAATAGACGGCCCCTTTATGTTTTATTATTTTTTTACTTTTTACCCTTTTAAGTTTTTTTTTTTTTTTTTTTTTTTTTTTTCACTTTGACTATTCATATTTAAATTTTTTTAATTTACTTCTAAAGTCAATTTCTGTTCAAAATTAGACAACAAAAATATCATGGCTGTGATGTGACGTAAAAATATATATTATTATATTTGATATATTTGGGTAGTTAAAGTGTAAGTTATATATAATAATATATTTCATGTCATATGACTTTTAATATAGCATTTTCTATCTAATTTTAGATTAAAAAAAATTAATTTTAAGAGTAAATTATAAAATAAAAATAAAAAACTTGAAAAGTAAAGAAAAAAAGATTTAAGAATTAAAGTAAAAAAAAAAATGATAAAACAATAAGGGAGCAAAGTGTAGTTTGCCCAAATAAAGCTCTACACTCCCTGTCAATAGAGAAAAACACCACATCATTATTGACTTGGTAATGAAATGTTTAACCAATTAAGTCCTCAACATGACTGGCAATTTAATTAAACATATTTAATTAAATATATTAATATGAAGACTTCATGATTCAATGTTGAACATGTCAAGAAACTCGTTACTAGATTCAGTACTACTACTGCTCCAACAATATAATATCATCATGGAAACGACTTTTCATTTTATTTTATTTTTTTAAATTTCAGAATTAAGAAAGTGGACCACTTCAAAACCTCCCACCAACTTCATATTGGGAGATGCTTTCTATGTATGTACTTATTTTAAAAAACAAAGAAAACACTTTCCTATCATCTTCCATTTTTTAGATTTTATTTAATGTTCATAGAATAGTTTGGCATATGTTGGACTTTAGATTAGGATTATTATTGACAAAGTCTATTATCTTATTTATAATAAATTATTTTTCTAATTTCGCTGTGAAGAGT